TCAAAGTAGTAGAGCGAATTAGTAAATCTTAAATTTTAAAATTTTGTTCATTTAAAGCCTTATTTATAGAATGCGAAAAACCTCATTTTTGACATTCTATATTTAAAAATTTATTTTTGTTTTATACAACTACTTCTGCTTGTGTTTTAAAAAAATTACTTAAAGATTTTTTTGTTAACACAGAATTTAAGACTTTTTTTGAACTTCATTGATATTTTGCTCAGTCGGTTTTTTTTATTGTTATTTAGGTGCCTCAAGAAGACCTAACAGTCTTGTCACAGAGCACCGCGTATTTAAACAATACAGTTAGGTAAATATTAGTTTTGAGGACCTTTTTTTAAGGATTCACCCCCTCATTTTATTTGTAAAATCACCTCTAGAATTTTTACAAAGTGATTTAACCGATAAATTTCGTTAAAAAATTGTTTTTTTTGCTCAAAGTTTTTAAGTTCTTAACTTAACAATTAAAAGTAAACAAAAAATTATAGGCTGGTAGTTGTAGCTCTTTTTCTTCTATTTTTTTGAGAAATTATCAATTTTTTTAAAATGTTTTTGCTATAGCTAAAATAATTTCAACACCAAGCAAAGTTCTCACTAAAAAATAGCTTTCAATATCTTGAGATTTCAATGGTCTAGAAATTAAATTTTTCATAATATATTGCAATTATATTATAATTAATTTTCTAACATATAAAACCTTGATAAGCATCTTAAATTTTAACTAAATTTAAAAATGTTGCTTATAATGCTCAGTAGGATCTTTGGTTTTTTCCTTTAAACAATCTAATTGTTTATCTTGCAGACCAGATATATATTTTTTTAATTTCATTTAAGTGCCCCAAGAAGTCCTAACAATCTTTTCACAAAGCAGCGCGGATAAGCATTTAATTAAAATTTCATGCCTCCTTCCCAACCGATGTTGCAATACTTGCTCAGAGATGGGGTTTGAACTACGGACCCTTTGTTTCTGAGGCAAGTGCGCTACCACTGCGGAATTTTACGGAAATAACATTATTGTTGAAAATAAAAACCGACTGATAACATTTTCTTGAAAAGCACTTTAACTTCAATGAGTGGTATGAAACTTATTTTAAGCATAATTATATGCTTAAAATAAATTTTAATAAGGTTTAAAAAGATTAAATATATTAAATTCTATTAAAGTTATGATGAAACAGCTGTTAAAAATGCGCATTTGACTGCAAACCACTCTAGAATTAAATTGTTTTATGAGTGTTCGGCAAATAATTCCCACCCACTGTTTTATTCAGACAACATCCCTCCTCCCCTCCTTTTTTATTAGATCTAGACTAAAATTATCACCCCTCCCTGCTTTTATTTACAACCCTGCCCCCCTCACTCTTTGTATTAAGCACGCGATATTAATGATCTTGCAAAGTTGTATAAGTACAGCAAGTATATGATTGTTGAATTGATATTGAATTGAAATGATTTAAATACATTAGTTTTTAACGGTTAAAATTTCGCTTGGAGCAGCATCAATTAAACAAAACCAAAAAAAATTCTCCACAAACAAAAACATACAATTAAGATAAAAATAACTGCAATCGTGGTGTAGTGGCTAGAGTTCTGGCTTCAGAACTGGTAGTCCCTGATCCAAAACCAGCTCAGGCCAAACAGTAATAAAACAACTCGTGTTATAAAACGAATTATTATAATTAAAATATAAATCATATTACATAATGATGCAAAGTGTGGGTACCGCAAGGACCGCGAACTTTTTTATAATAATGTTTTATTATTTATATAAAACTTGATAACCTCATTTTTAAAGAAGATAGTGTGTTTCACTTTTAAATTATATATATATGCTAATCAACACGAAAACTTGCGAATATTTGCAATAATTTTTTAATATCAAAATCAAACTTTTTCGAGAGCTTTTTTACAGTAGGGGAAAGGCGCCTATGATGGCATACTTAACTTTGAAGCTTCATTATTCAGTATCCTGAAGACCAAGAACAAAAGTTTTGACATGGACAAAAGCTTTGACATGGACAAAAGTTTTGACATTCTTTGTTACATGTAGAACAATAATAACCTCAAGAGTTTTCAGTTTTATTTTTTTATTAGTTATTTTTATTTAATAAAAAAGTACAAGTATGCCATCATAGGCAACTACTGTTCCTATGATGGCATAGGGGAGGATAGGGCTGGATAGCATCAAGGATAACTTGATGGTTTTATTTGATCTTAGAATCTTGCCTCAGAAATGCCAGAAATTACGCGTAATCATCCTAATTGACCCTTTTGTGCTACACAGCAGCAGTGCAAGATTTCGCGCATGCGCATAAGAGATATTGCGTTTTATGTGTTTTTTAAACCAAAAATTTTTTACTGAAGTAAAAATGCTTTTTTACTTCACTAATAAATATGTTGTTTTTATGAAAAACAAAAAGATTTTTGTTTTTCATAAAAACTCGTCAATATTGCAACACACCTAACTCGTCAGTATGCCATCATAGGAAGAAGTCATCATTTTCATTTAAACAAGCTACGTCTGCCTTGTTCAAAATATAAAATTAAAATAAGTATTCCATTAACTGCACAAAACTTGGAAACAAAAAGCATGAAAATTTTATTTCTGTGCACTTAATAATAAAATCACAATCTTAAATATTTAAAGGGATTAAAAGTACAACAGCACATCCCAAAATCAATTTTTGTTGATTATAAAAGCAATATTTGTGCATAAGAGACGTATTTTTACTAAAACTAATGTAAATTAAGTATAAACATGTTGGTCTAATCACTTTTTTGCCATAACCAATATGTATGAAAATATGACCGGTATGCCATCATAGGCGCTATGACATCATAGGCTCCTTTCCCCTACAACTGAAAACATCAAATTCCTTTCTGTAATGTTATACTAAATAAAAATTATTTTTTGCTAAGCATAATTTGTTACTACTTTTATATATTTTTCATTATGCTTTGTTTTGGTCGACTTTAAAGAGAATCCCGGGATTGATGTTAGACAATCTCGGGATTTCGGAAGTATAAAAAACCCAGGATCCAGGGATCCCGAGATTACAATTGCTAATAACAAACAAGTAAATTTGTTTTAACTTCCTCATGAAGAATTAATTAAACTTAAAATAATATCTGTAATTGCTTTACAAAATGTGGCGAATCATCAAAGTCAAAACTTTGATTAATGACACGGAAAAGTGAACTTTCTTTAAAATAGTCCCGGGCCCAAAATATCTTAATCTTCCACTGGGTGAATTAAAATGTAACCTTGAGTCATGTGCACAATACATAACACAGTTGTACGTCTATTAAATAACGTCATTTAAATTAGTTGCTAATACATTAACTTATTTTATTAATGTTTACTAGGTTGCTAGAATTAGCAAATTTAACTTTGAAAAAAAAGTTCTTAATTGACGTAAAAAGTTATTCAAAAGTACGACTTTGTTGAAAGTCAAAAATTTAGAAAATTAATTATTTTATTGAAACTTTGTAACATCATATTCAGAAAGTGATTCTCTACAACATGGTCCAAAAATTCTTGTAGAAAGTTTATTCAATGACTAATTAAGATCAGTTAATCCATTAATTATTAATATATTAAATACTTTCTCGTTTTAATAGTTACTAAAATCCTTGTAGAAAATTTATTCAATAACTAATTAAGAGCCGAAGAATAAACGTTTTCATAACTATTTCATTATATTCTTTATTTTATTCATCATATTCTTTATTTTATTTTATTACTCCCTATTCTTTATTTCATTATACCCTCTATTTTATTTAACTATATCCTCTATTTTTATTCTGATCTGTTTTACTTCAATATAGTTTGCATTAAACATAAAAATTGCAAAAATCTTTTATTTTTTTTAATTAGCGAGAATTCGTAAAATGTCACTACATGTATATTACATGTAATAAACCTCATTATGTAATTTATAACTAATTACCTTGAATGAAATAAATAAAAACACATATTTTTATTTAAAGTATTTGCAAAAAATTATTTGCCTTACTTTTTTTGATCCGTTTTTACCAACACAGTTTGCCAATTGCATTATTAGTCTAATATTCGTTTCATCACAAAATAGCTACAAAAATTATTTTTAAATACGCATACAAACTACAAATTATATTCATATCAGGTAAAAATTTGATTTTAAGTTTAAGTAAACTTAATTTGTTTTATTCAAAGAAGTAGTGATGCACGTAGCACCTCGGAATAGCATTTAATAAAGAGGTTTCTCGCTGCTCACTAATGTTTGTTTCTCGCTGCTATTCTCACCAATATTTTTTATGGTCAAAGCGGATATTAAACCATAAACTTTTTTATGGTCAAAGCGGATATTAAACCATAAACTTTTTTATGGTCAAAGCGGATATTAAACCATAAACTTTTTTACTCTAAAATTAGCTGTTTAAATATTTGCACTGCGACTATTTTATTATATAGAGGTTCACTTAATGGGCAGCTTTTTCTTCACCTATTAGTCCCCACTCTATTTCACTTGAGGTTCTTGTTAAATAAAAAGAACATTTTTGAATTGAAAAAGATCGGTAATTTTATAGTACTTTTTCAAGTGTAAAATAGCCTAACTATTTTAGAAAAATTACTAGGGTCAACTAGGCCTCCGCAATAGGCCATTAAAGATAAACAGTATTAAAAATTGTTAAAAAAGTCTCATTAATGAAAAATTTGATGTAATAGTTTTTTTCAATTTCATAACAGCAATGTTGAAACAGAAAAGCAACTTTATTTATCTTTTACTTTACTTATCTGTTTTGAAATTAAATCTTAGTAAACAGTTAAAAATAATTTTAACTGTTTATAAACTATTTGATTTTTAACTATTAATGAACCATTCGAAAAAATGTTTACGCAAGAATAGCTCATCAGCATATTTAATGAGACAAATATTTTTAAATTATTAAAATTTGTGCAAAATAATCGAATTGTTGCGGTGAGTCTATTGGAAAAATATAATTCTTATAAGCTCTTCGCCGTTGTGGATATCCATTTTAAAGTAACGTAGTTTTGAGCGGAAAAATTTCCGTTAGAAAATATCAGGAAGAACAATATGGAGAGCAACAGGAAAAAAAATGTTTAAATGAAAAAATTTAAAATTAATGCAACAAGAAAAATAAGATTAAAAAGAAACTGCACTATTTATATTTTTTAAAAAGTTAGAAATTTCCATGGTCATGGTCGAAGCAACATTGAGCTTTGCGGCTGGAACGCTGCTGACATTTATGATGGCAAATGCTGTTGTCGTCGCCAGAGGATTTCTTTTACCATACACGTGTAAGAAAGGGCATGCAGACGGATTAAAATGTAAAAACTGTTGCCGAATAAAAGAAGTTAATAAAAAGTGGTCAACAGAAGATCTGTTTGGAGAAAAAGTTAAAATGTAGATTAAGAATAATTTTCATGGTTTTTTTTAGGTAAGTTATTGTTAGTTTATTTACAACTATTAATTTATATATATATATATATATATATATATATATATATATATATATATATATATATATATATATATATATATATATATATATATATATATATATATATATATATATATATATATATATATATATATATATATATATTAACATTTATCAGGCGCGGATCTAGAGTTTTTTGATGTTCAAGATATTTTCCAGACATGTAACTAATTCCAAAAATTTATATATTTGAACTTATGTCAAATAAGAATGATTTGTGATGATTGGAGATTGGGAACAAAAAATCCTAAAAATTTTAGCTTACAACTGCCCCAAACTAAATAAAAACAAATTGATAAAATATTTTTTTTACAATTCTTAAATAAATTTAAGTTTATTGATAAATTCTAAATTTCATACAATAATCTCTTAGTGTTTCGAAAATATGACTATAAAAAGTTTTAACCCCCCTCGATTTGAGGGGTTACAAACTTTGTAAGGTCATATTTTTGAACGTTTAGAGATTATTTTACGACATTTAGAATTTATCTATGAATATAAGTTTATTCAAAAATAGTTCAAAAAATATTTTATCAACATGTTGCGCTCTCCTTTTGAGGCAGTTTTGGCCAAAATTTTTGTGCTTTTTTGTTACTAGACTCCATATATATATATATATGGAGTCTAGTAACAAATATATATATATATATATATATATATATATATATATATATATATATATATATATATATATATATATATATATATATATATATGCACACAAAAAAATTTTTAAAAACAACTTAGTAAAAAGCATCATAAAGTATTATTGGCACAGCCGACGACACCGGGGATGAGGAAAGCAGAGGGCACTACCCCTCCCCATCACACATTTTTATAAAGAAACCTGCTTTTTTTTCAAGAAATATCTAGAAATTTTTTTTTAACTTTTTTTTTAACCGTGTTGTCGGCTCTGATTGGACTTGTCTGGCTGGAAACTGGACTTATAAAAATTGTCTGGTAGTAACCTTTTCGTAATTAATCTTCCTGTTAGTGTTTGTTAAAATTTGGTGAGTTGTTTTATGTTCGTGTTTATGAAATTTATTACAGTTTTATTGAAAAATAAACTGAATGGATTTACAATAAAATTATTTTATCTACAGCATGGTAATGAATTAAACTACTCAATCAGGTTAATTCATTAAGTGTAAGATACTTTAGCACTACAAACATTGCTGGCGACTTCATTGTCGATTTTAAAAATATGATAGATGTATCAGTTAATAAAATCTCATTTACATAAGTACAAGTTTTGTTTATATAATCAAAATAATTTTTTTTAGAAATTATTGAAAAAACGAATGAAATTTATTGAGAAGTTATTAAAAAAACAGCGAAAGAAAAGTATCAAGAAATATCGAAAAATTGAAAATATTGAAGTTCATTTCAAAAGTATTATCATTAGTTGTAATGAAAAAGTTTTAATTAAATGTCATTATTTTGATTTATGTTAAAAAATTTTATATGAAGTAAAAAATCATTTTTGTTTTGGTTTAAAAATTAAGTTGAAATATTTTTTATATTTATCTCAAGGAAAATTGTTTAACATATTTTGCATTTATAAATCGTCGGTGAAAATGACATGGAAATGACTTTTCACCGACGACAATACGTTTTATAACTAATATTTAGTTTTTAGTATAAACTTTATACTAAGTTTTTTTATTATAGCAATTTATGCAAACTTTTTTAATTTATGCGAACTTTTTTATTAAAAAAACTTGTTACTTTTTTATTAAACTAACTTGTAAATTTTTTAACTAATTAAATTTTTTTTACTAACTCGTAAAGTAATGTTACATACTGTTGTGTAGGGTAGACAGGGGTAGACAGGGGCAGGACGCCATCTCTACTGCTGGTTTGTCAAACCCTATAGTGTGTTTTTAAATAAACTATTTATTTATTTTGTTATGGTAAGTCATTAACATAGAAAAGATTAGTAGCACCAGATAGATTGGCTACTTTTACCCCTGTATACCCTTAAGATTATTTATGTTTTAAAAAAAATAAATATTTGAAGTTATCTTGTTATTAATAACTCGAAGATTAAATAAAACTTTCCACGATTATACTAACATTTTCCCCCAAAGGTTTCGGCCCGTTGACCTCCGTGGGTCCATTTACTAAAGTTGTAATACACGTCATTGATGCAACGGCATCGGTTACCATTTGGCAAACTGAACATCGAAAATTTTTGATGTTTAATTTTATTGACTTTTTTTTTCGGCTTTTAGGTATTAACTGAATTAAGAGTTGTCCATAAAGTACGTATGCTCATAGGGGGAAGGTTTTCAAAAAGCGTGCGAAAGCGTATGGGAGAGGGGGAGGATTCAATTTAAAAGTACGTACTTCGATTTTCTAATTTTACACAATTAACCAGCTAGTCAATAGAAAAGTTAAAATCCTGACTAAAGATCCTAGTTTGCCAACATAAAAAGATGTATGGTATAGGGAGTAGAAGGTATAGTTCCTCTCTATGCACACACACGCATGGACGCCCACAGGATTTTTTGATATTCCAGATAAACCACTTCCACACATTGTGCAAACTCTAAACTTAAGTATGTTTATACTTATGCCAATTGAAGAAGCCTCGCAAAAATTGTTATGGTGGTAGTCTGGGAACAAAAAAGCCCTCAAATGCTTGCATCCCCTCCCCTGCCCAAACTTGAGGGCATTAATGTAGTAAAATTTTCCGCCCCCCTTCCCTAAAAAAATAAATAAATGAGGGGCTGTACATTTTGCATCGACATACGTAATTTTTGTAATTTACAATATTTTTCAACGAAATTTAAATGCCACCCCTTATATACTGGCCCTGAGTATACTCAGTGCCAGTATATAAGACGTGGCATGTGTGCATGCATGTGCAAAAAATAGGTTGCCTATTTTTTGAGTCAACAAAAAACAGGTTTTAGCAGTGCAATGGCTAATAGGTCGGAAAACCCCCCTCCCCTCAAAAAAAAAAACGTGTCATTGGTCTCAAAATCTTCCAAATTTTACCGCTAGGTTTAGCTAAAATAAAATAGCAAAAGGGAATAAAATTTGCTGCTCCCCACAATACCCCACACCCTCTTATTACGGGGTATGGGTAGCCTACACTCGGCACTGGGTTTTAAGCTTTGTTTTCAATATTACTCTTCTCGCGTGACTCGCTTTTTACGGACTTACTAAAGAGGGGTGCCTGAAAAAAACGTCTGCCTTAAGTATAGTTTATTTTTATTTGATGCGTCTCATTAAACAAAAAAAGTAAAATAAGATTTTACTGGGAATCGAAATCGGGTTTCCGTTGTCACTGCCCATAACACTCAGCCAAGCGAACTCTTTGATATAAAAAGATTTAATTTTATTTAAATTTATATTTGTATATATTTGATGATGTTGGGATCCTTTGCCGCTAACAAAGGACTTTGGGGTCGTATAAATATTTTATACGTTTTTCACTCCCGGCCTATTTTTTTTTTTTTTTAATATAAAAATTTATTGAAATAAAAAAGGTGGAGGAGGTACCCTAGATACTTTTAAAGTATCTACGGTATCTCCTCCACCTTTTTTTTTTCAATTCATTTATATGAAAAATGTACGTACTATTTAAGGGGGTAGGGACTTAAAAGTACGCATAGCAACAAGGGGGAGGGGAGTGTCAAATTTCAGAATTTTTGGCGTACGTACTTTATGGACGACCCCTTACTTAAATAAATCATAAAATTTTTCCAGTTTTAGATTATTAAAAGAATATTCTTCATTTATTTCAAAAAACGCTCATTACCAACTTTAAAAAATGAAGATTTTTTAGTTTATGTTTTATTTCAGTATACTACGTAGAAATATCAACGTTATTATACCCATTTTGTGCAATTCCTAGAGGGAAGTTTATAGTAATTGAATAGACTGTGATTTTCTGGTTAACCAACAACAAGCTTAGAGAATTGATTGTACATTAGCTTTGATATTTGGCCACAAAGCAATCATCAATAGAAAATTAAGAAACCAGTTAACAAAAAGATTTTAAACTTTTTATTATTGATAGCTTGTTTGGAAGCATGGTACCATTAATGAAAAACTATAGCTTCATTATTACATTTGATGTTAGCATTGAGTGGTCTGTAAAAATTATAATATAGTCACTCAAACTAAAATGCATTGTTTTTTATTTGCATACCATGTTACTAACATAAAATAACATGTTATGCCAGTTTAAGTTAGGTTGGCTCAAGTTTTTGAAAAGTGAGCAATCTTTTTATTAAAGTATATACAGACATCCAAGGCTTTCTGTCAGCTTTGTGGTAATTTTGAATTTGATTATCCAGGATTTAAGATTTAGACTCAATCATATTAGTCAGGGCTCATAGTTTGTCTATTTTGTTATTCATTAAAGTGGTATTTGAATGATTTTGATTGTTGATTGGGTAGCTGCTAATTAGACTACTTAACTAGAAATATCAAATTAAATTTTGTTTTCATAAGTGAATTTTTTTATTTTTTTGGTTTATTTATGTTTATTTTTTGTTTTAAAAGTACTGTTTATGTCACATGTGGCTAAAACTTTATGATGTTAATTTTTTTTTTTTTTTTTTTTTTTATTTTATTTATTTTTGTCAAGCAACCATTCACAGTTAAAAGTAATTTCCGATAAAATATTTAAAAATGTTAAATACAAGTATATTTCATTATTTATAATAGTTACGAGACCGGAGAACCTGAAGAAGATAAAATCTTATCATCAGTAACCTTTGGTAATAAAAGTTGGAAATAAAGGTGTATTGTTAGAAAAAATCATTTAAAGAATCTTGATTTGTAATAAGTTCAATAATGTTCATTTTAAATTTTTGAGAGGTATTGGCTTCTTTTAGTTTACCACTCAGGCTTGTAAAATGGTTCCATAGTATTGGGCCACGATAGGAAATGGCAACGCTCGTAAGTTTTGATGTACGGAAAGGTTTTTTCTGCTTTCTGGAACAAATAATTTTATGAAATATTGTGAGTATAGGAACTTTTGTAATCAATGTAATCAAACTTGTTAGGAATTGCAAACCAATCAAAAATTATTACTAAAGTTTATTATAAAAATTTCCAAAATTTTTCAAAAAAGCAAAGATTTCAAATTGCTGCAAAAAAAACATTAAGGTTAATTTTATTAATTATAATATATGTATTAAGATTTTTTTTCCATTTACAAAATTATTAGGAAGTTTTTATTAGAATATCTTTTTATTTTATTTTTCTGTACTGTCAGGTCAGGTTATCCTCCTACTGGTAACATGTAACTAGTACAATTTGCTTCATGTCCTTCTGCCTTGTAGGATACGCTTCTTTAGGCAAAGGCTAGGAGAAGCTAACTCCGACTTAAAACCCCCTGCCTTGGGGCTCTTGGTTGAGTAAAGGCTAGAGATAGTATCTCGATAAAAATAGTTTTTCTTGGGCAGATGTTAAATGCATCCGGCTACTGTCTTGTAGAAGAACTCCTAGGCAAACACTTAAGGTGTAAACAGATTCTATTTGTTGATTAGCCTCGCACCCTTTCCTCATCTATTAGGCTGACGCAGATGTATTTATAATACATTGTTTCCAGTTTAAGATGTTAAATGCTGGATTTTGTTGACTCAATGCATGGATTTTGCTTGTGTCTCTGTTTTTATGACTAGGCAACTTATTCTATCATCTCCTAATTACCGTACAGCTCTAAAACTCAGTTTTATGGTTCCGAGGCTGGCTGGTAGTCAGGTTTGTGGTAGCTCTCAGAGAGGCAGCTGAAAAATATCAGAGTACTAACATCAACTTCTGAGACTTTATCAACAGCTGAAAAATATCAGAGTACTAACAGTGCCATGTTGCAGATGGATGGTGTCCCTGCTTGTACTTTTGTTGTGCATTATCAAGGTCACATTTGGAGACTTTTATTACGGCTTAGGGTTTATTAATAGTAATGAGGCAATTGCTTGGGGTGCTAAACAGTATACTGAGTACTATCTATGCTTTGGGTCAAGTTTTTTAACAAATTTAAAAATGAAAAGTACCAAAAACTATAAAGCACAAAAAACTATCGTCATCGCCAAGTTCTCTAAACCTATCATTCACTAATATTCGTGGTCTTCGAAGTTCTTTTCTTTTTTTTTTTTTTTTGTTCTTGAATTTTACAACTTTGTAATTTAATAAATATTCGTTAATAAAAATACAGTATTTTTCAGAGTTAGTTTGATAAGCTGATTGACAAACGTCGTTATCATTTCGTAAAACTTATTTCTTTTTTTTTCTTTTTTGTTAATCAAATTTTGAAATGGTACATAGCGTTAAAAATATTAAGCTCATATATATTTAAAATTTTATTCTAATTATTAGAGGTTTGGCATGAGTAAATCGATCCTTAAATCTAATAATAAGTGCAACATGTTTCTGTTGACGATAAAAAGGTTTTACTTTTATTAGTACTACCCCACGCAATGTGCGCATAGTTTATATGACAATGAATGAGCGAATAATGCAGTTTAAGTAATGAATGTTTATTTAAAAAACTTCTTGCTTTGTATAAAACTCCTATGCTTTTGATATTTTACTAATTAAATTTTTTATCTGACTTTTCCATGACAAATTTTCATCAATATAAATACCAAGAAAGTTGGAGTCTTATTTCTTGCAAAGTTCACCAGACCTACTTGCTCTTTGTGAGACTAATTTGAGTTCAGCTGTCTCATCTTGTGATCTTAGTTTTGATGGTTATCTTTCTTTAAATCGTAAAGACTCCAATAGTCACATACTTAGCCTGGGCATTTACTTTTGTAAGAATTAACCCATTTGTCCGGAAACTATGTTTAAATCCACAGACTAATCTTTTATCTGCTTTTATTTAGTACCAATTTACTCAATTGCCTTTTTCTTTGCTCTATTTCGCTCTCCTTCATCTCAAGACTTTTTTTGATCTTATTTCTGATCAAATTCACCAAGCCTCTGTCTTTATCCATCAGCTATTATTGTTGATGTTGGTGACTTTAATGCTTCTTACACTAAATGGCTCGGCTCTC